GATAGGTATTCTCACCGTTGAGGCGTACACACTGTGAATGAGCATAGCAGAATGAAGCAGAGAATAGACCATGTCGATGGGAGCAGTAAACCCTGCAAGACATTTATATTATAACTCTGGAGGAGCTCCAAACCATCGAAGATAGTAGCTAATTCAACGAGGGCCATGTCTGTATAACTAAAAGAGCCCACCGACGATGTTGATCCAACGCGAGGCGAGCTCATATGGGGAAGTAGTACCCCTACGTGGTGCTGCGAGATACCCCGATGGACTCAGCGATTACGAAACGCATACGAAGCACATCCACTACGGGACCTCAATAAGTATCCCCGTCGAATAACAGGAAGGCCATAGCCTCCGACGCTAAAGTCACATCAATACAAACAGAACAGAAAATACATTCTATCAATAACAATGCGATCATCAACCCATTGGTAAGATACAGAGAAGCTACGGCATTTCCTGACTACAGTGCGGAGAGTGCTCTTCCACACGGACCAGGACCGCAGAGATCATATATTATTATGGGCTTCTATCATACTTGGCGATTGACAACCCAACGAGTGGCTACTCATGAAAATGCGATGATATTACTTCCGGAATGTTTCCAATGGTGCTTTTAAAGATACTTTTCGAGGCCGTACCCCACCCACTGTTGCCGGTCGGCTTCCACCAACGATACTTCCGTAAGCGCTTTGGCTCGTCGCTACTGCACCAAAGCCTCGTCCTTTTCCCTGAACCTTCACTGTCTCTTGCTCGGGCACTATCCCTTCTATTGCTTTCTCCCGCCATCTAGCTCGTCGTGATTCAGCTCTAGCAGCACTTCTACTCCCCCCGGGAGTAGACTGTCGACTTAGTGTCCTCACTGATGTATTTCGCGCAACACTGACTGCAGACGATGTCATTCGATTCAGAAGTGGATCTGCAAACGCCGCATGCTGCATAACATAGGGTCGCTCAGCTTCCTTATTGGATCGACCTGATGATATCGTGCTCGTTATAGTATTCACGAAGGCTTCGAGTCTGTCCGAACTGTCTTCTACTGGCATGTCTAGCTCGACTGCCGAGCCTTCCGGATTCCCTTTAAGAATCCAATCTGGTGGAGTCAATGGCACCATCTCCGAGCTAGTTGCGGTTACTATCTCCTCTGCCGTCCTACTAGCTGAACGTTCACTCAAACCGTCATCAATACCGTGACAATTCTGGAAAATGTGTGGGGCCATCAGTGGGTCGGAGGTCGACCCGAAAGGTATCTTTGGAGCGGTATGTACTGCCCTCACAGAAGGAGCTCTAGCAGAGCGTTCAACTGGTGGCCTCTTGCTATAGGAACTCCGATGTCGTATTTTCCCCTTCCCAACCTCCCTAGAATTGAGGGCATCACTGATGAGCTTCCGTCGTTGACTAGTTGCAGAGCCGTCCTTCCGGAATCCTTTACCAGATTTTTGCTGTGGGATGGTATCGATCTCCCGCAACAATCGTATTATCTCGCTTTTTCTCCTTCTGGCGTGACCAACGACTCGCTTTCCCTTTTCCATTTCCCTACCGTATACAGAAGTTACCTCATCCAGTCGACGGTCTAGAGCTTTGTGATGACACTGAAGCGATACCTCTGGCAAAGTCTCTAGCCTGGCTCTAGAAGGGAGAACTGTAGCGGGTCGGGAGTTGCCACTGACTGTGGACGGGCTCGAGCTTGGTGGATGGTCAAGAGAGGGACCGAAATGGAATTTTGGTGTTGCTGAGATCGTACTGAGAATGCCTATATTATCATGACCAGTTCCATTGAGACCAGTTCGTAATGATGATAGGTACTCCTCTGACGGGACGAAGGTACGAAATGACATTAACAATCAGCCCAAAACAAACTGATGGTTAATTAAAAGGCAAAGCAACAGCAGCAGCAGCAGACGACGACGGTGGTCTGTGTGGCTAATGAAGGGTAGATACAGTGGTGGTGGAAGTGGTGCTCCTGCCTCTTTCCAATGGGACAGTTATGCCATTCCCAAGATATACCCCAATACCATAAATCCCCCCTCTAGGGCAGCTATGCCATTCCCAAGATATACCCCAATACCATAAATCCCCCCTCTAGGGCAGCTATGCCATTCCCAAGATATACCCCAATACCATAAATCCCCCCTCTAGGGCAGCTATGCCATTCCCAAGATATACCCCAATACCATAAATCCCCCCTCTAGGGCAGCTATGCCATTCCCAAGATATACCCCAATACCATAAATCCCCCCTCTAGGGCAGCTATGCCATTCCCAAGATATACCCCAATACCATCAATTTTCCCTCTAGGACAGCTATGCCATTCCCGAGATTTTATCTAACTAATTTGGATTTCAAATGTGATAGAAAATCATGGATTCGAGCACACTGGCAGAGCACCTGTGCAAATTGAGCGAGAAGTATGTTCAACCTTTACTCTGAAAAAACCAATAATCAAAGTTGAGTACGAGCTCCGGAATTAGTACGGGAGTTCACTCACCTCTTCCTTGTAGCAATCTTCTACGTGGGAGACAACGTCCAGCAAACTTCCAAGTGCAAGATCAAAATTCAATTCAAACCCAACCCCAGCTCAAAAATTGTGCAGGAAAGTGCGCTGTCCATGCAACTGCACGAAGAATTGGAACTTTGAGCTGAGCCGCCTATGTCCATAGAAGTCAGCATTATGCTCCCAATAAGCAGAAGAATCATCTCTACTCTACCCAATAGGATAGCATTGATCAATCCAGTCGTTGCCCGTCGAGCACTGATGACCTCCTCCAGGCCTGTCTTTGCAACAAACAGAGCACTGGGTCGACACTGAGCATAGTCATGAGTCTGCATCTACTGAAGAGCCTCCTAACCGCCCTTGGACAGCAACGAGACTTTTCCTGTATGGCTCGGGGACTGCTGCTGCGGCTTGGCTGGCGTATTGTGCTATTCATTCTGGTGGTGATCCTCATAAAACCGAGATTATGATTGAGGAAAGCATTAAGCAACTACCGTTGTACAGACCTCCTGAGCGACCAGAAGCAGAAAGGTTGAGTCGAATTGATCAACATGATCTCGATGATGCTACTATGAAGGATCTAGCGACCTGGTTTATGGCTGAGGATAAGAGGGCGGCTGATGGTGTCAGTCGGTCGACGGTATTGGACTTTATAGGAGAATCTTTGGGACTGTTGGAGCCTGAGGAAGCTGAGATGGAAAAAGAGGACAATTTACGGTATCCTCGATTCGGTAGAGATAAAGGCAAACTGCTGCACGAAGTGACTAAGGCGTTCGTTCATAAGGGGCATGGTCGACTTGACGAGGAAAAGAGGCAAGCCGGGTGCTCTGTGAGTGAAGCCGCCGAATTATTGTCTAGCGTCATTGCAATTCACGGTGACGACACCGCTGATAGGGTTCAGGAACGATTACATAAGATCATAGAGACCAATTATAAGGATACTGGCTTGCCTGAGGTTTCTGTCTTTCAAAATCCTATGAATATTCCCCCACCAGTACAACCTCTACCTGAAGTAGACGAGGAAGAGGCCAATAGAGCTGTGCTCAAGCTGGAATTAGAGCAGTATACGGCTGAGTTGGCTGAGGGTGGTGCTGATAAAGAAAGGAAGAAGTGGCTGGAAAGTGAGATAAAAACTGTTGACGGATTGCTACATAAGAAGTGAATGTCGTGAAGGTGACTCCAAAATATCTGGCTGTATAAACTTGTGCGAATCTTGAATTTCCACTTTCCTTTATCAAATCGAGTTTCGATATAAGTATTTGTTGAATTGAGTCTTTGGTAAGGGAATCTTAGGTTGATTGTCGAAGATTCAAATCATGTCAAGTAGTGGTCCATCAGTCGAAAAAATCAGTCACTGTTTAGGGGATGCTCACCGAGGCTTTGTCAGCACATTTTCTCAAACTAACAAGAGATGATCTCCAGAGGAGTCTGTAGCGGCTGAGGGTGCGCTGGTCACGAAGTTCTTGACACGGCAGTGGACTCCATCAGGGAAAGTATCTCATGCACAATTAAAGAAGATACAGAATAGGTCATGTCGGGGAACAAGCTGGCTGCCTCAGTGCTACCTTCCTAAGGAGAAGCAGTATTTGATTACAAAGACAGTACCGTGCCTTGCCAAAGTGAAGGACTTGAGCGAGAACAGTTTTAAGGACGTCATAGGGAGTTCCTCTCATTCTGATAGAAAAACCGTGAAATGCACATCCCTAATTTCAGTGCATCTACGACGTATGATAACGGTTGGTTATACACGGCAGTAGCTCAGTAGAGTAGTGCTTGTTCTACGAACAGTTAATAAGAAGAAATCGACTGTAAATAGATCCATGTTAAAACCCCAGACTTCCTTATCTGAATCCCGCGTATGCTATTAGTAGAGGCAAAGCCAGCATGGGGGGAAAGCAGATGGATGTACGGGAAGAACCTGCCCAGTAGTCGAGGGCTGAGTAGGATTGGATGGTATCGTTATGATCTACTACTACAGGCCGTTAGCGGAGGCCTCTACGATGGTGCTTGTGGAGGACTTTAGTGAGGAGGAGGTAATGTACGAACTTCACACTATCATAGTATCACTATGCAATACTACACCATTTCCTGGGCCGATTAGGTCTCTAGCAGAATTCCTAATGATACATTGTTTCAGCTCGACAACTTTTTGATACTTTTTTTACTATTTGATCTTCATTTAATACTTTATTCTTGATATTAGAAAGGTTATGTATTTAGCCCTATGAAGTGGACGCAAGGCTATCTTCATTTCGGACAAGTTCTTTTATCATCATTTTAGGGTTTAATCTGAGCTGGCTCTATTGCTTCTTAGGGAGATTTCTAGAATGACACTTTAATCATCAGGTGCCGACTCTTAAATACGAAGTGGATATCACGCTTTGAAACACGCATGATTGTGAATATTACATTTCGAACATTTCTATACCATATCAGTAACTGCACTCTTCAACCCTATCATGAGTTCAACTCAGATAGTGGGGCTGCTGTAGTCGTTCGTGACTGAGCGGACCTATGTACACTGCATCAGCGAACGAAATGACAATCGTATATAGTGACTCGTGAACTGTGTTTAGGATATCTGCCTTTCAATTCTAGTAGACCGCCTAGATATGAGTTGACATACTCAACGCTTGAGTCAGTTGGAAATCTCTATTGTTATTGGTTTCATATCGATACCTGAGATCAGATCGAATGCTACCCGTACACTAGTGAAAGGATTGACGTCTGACTCGTTCAATTTCTTATTCTCAGCTTCCCATTGACATGACCTCGTACTCCCCGTCAGCCCTACCAGTGAAGATACTCCCAATGAAGGAGTATATAAGAGAATTCGAGAAGGACCATCCTGAAGGTAGATAAGCTCATTGCACGTCGTATATAGTACTCACTCAGTGGTTCGAAAGGAGTTGCCAGATCAACAACAAGTTCCTCAGCCACCGTCGACTAAGGTCAATGACGTAGGTTTTATCAGTCCAATTTTTATTCCATTCGTATTGCCTTTATCTTGGTGGGCTTGGTTTAATGTCTCACTCGTGGCTCGTATAATATACTATATCAGACACGTGTATGATTCTTTTCCCGCAAAGTTCGACGAATTCTGGCTGATTATCCGCAAAATCCAAGTCGTGTGTAGTGAGGAAGCTTCTGAACTCAGCTGAGGGAACCAAACAATCATCCCAACACTGAATTTTATGGCGCAGTGACGCATCTTCTTATACAGTCCAAGTCCTGTCTTGAATCCTGTCGATACGCCCTTTACCAGCAAGCCCAGCTTGAGGCCGGTTACGATGCTGCCACTAGTGGCTCACAGGGAGAGGTTGATAGGAGAATAGTAAACCGTACAGGAATGAATCGTCATCATCACTGATTCCTGCAGGTTCATGCGCGGTTCGCAGGTATGCAAAATCAATGTCTAAGATTGTGCAATCGAGCCTTTATCACTTCAACTTAGTTTCCGAATGATCCATTGTTTGTGACTCAATGAACACGGGTTTGGTGATGGTTATTTCGAGCGATAGTTGTTTATATGGGAACATATGTAAGCTGCAGGTATTAATTTAAGACGGTATTTTAATAATATATTTATATTTAATTCCCATTATAAGCAGCGTATTTTTTTGAACAAATCCGAAAACCTAGTATCTCACGCTTAGTCAGTAGTGTTTCTGGATGAAACTTCGACAAGGCCGAGATGTAGTGATAAGCTACAACAGATTGAGGAGAAACGGTTATATTCGTGAACGTTACTCATATATAATGACGAGGTAGAAGTTTACACCCCATAACCTTGCAATTTTGGGAAAAAAAGAAATATGGTCCATCGTTAATAAAAATGTGGAAAGCATCTCTAAAGTCCGACTGCGAGATGTGAGATGAATGTGCAGTCCGAGAGTATGGTGAGTTTTCATCGGCTGTGTGGTCTAGTGGTATGATTCGCGCTTCGGGTGCGCGAGGTCCCGGGTTCGATTCTCGGCTCAGCCCCATTGTATCATCCCAGTTTTAGAGTGTAATGAATTGCCCTGGCTAGGAATCATACACAGCGTATTCATGTCCACCAAGAGGTAGTGGCATACACGAATCACCCACTCCGAGGAAGTACCACCACTGTCATTTTCATAGGATCTCGTGAATGAGAAAATATGATGCTCCGATC